GCAGGCAGAGGGGAGGCAGGCTGTAGCTGTGACTGTGACGGGACAGGCTGTGGACACTCTAAGGGAGGAGGAGGACCAGTAGAAGGAGGAAGACCAAGAACATGCTGCAGGAGTGGAACAAAGTACGAGGCCGCGTGACGACGCTAGCACCAGTACCCTCAGCAGGAGCACCCGCTCCAGCAGCACCTCCAGCAGCACCAAGAGCACCCTTAGTAGGACCGCCAGCGGTAGTCTCAGCGCCAACACCCTCAGCAGCACCAGCTCCAGTCGAACCCGTAGGCCCAGCAGCTCCAGTACTCCCAGTACGAGCACCTCTGGGACCCGCGACCGCAGCACCCTCAGCAGCCGAAGAACCTCCAACACCAGCAGCACGGCGCCAGCGCCGGGCAAACCACTTGCGCAGCTCCTGTGGAGAGAGTGGCTCCCAGCGAGAAGAAGCACCCGGAGAACCTCTAGGCGGAGCACCTCCACTCCCAGCACCCCCAGGCGTAGCACCTCCAGGCTCAGCACCCCCAAGCGCAGCACCTCCAGGCTCAGCACCCCCAGGCGTAGCACCCTCAAGCTCAGCACCCCCAGGCTCAGCACCCCCAGGCTCAGCACCCCAAGACGCAGTACCCCCAGGCTCAGCACCCCCAGACTCCGCACCCCCAGGTCCAGCACCCCCAGGCTCTGCACCCCCAGCAGCACCAGAGTCACCAGTGACCTCGACAGGCTCGACTGCGTCTACCTGGAACACACCTAAAGGGGCAGGACCCTGAGGGGGGAGGGAGTCTTCCTAGGGGGGACCTGGTACAAGGAAGAGCGGAGGTGGGGGGAGGGACGGAGTGCGGTAGGGGAGGAGGCGGTAGTAGGGGACCGACTCGTCAAACGTGACGTCCTGGGAGGACAGAACACGTCGAGAGGTGGGGTGGTAGAACTGCCACCCAGGCGCGTCAGGGGGGAACCCCAGGAAGACGCAAGGAGCAGCACAAGGGGACAGCTTGTCCGCAGATAAGTCGCGGACAAACGCCCGAGATCCCAAGACCCGGAACGCCGACGCATCGCCAACCTTCCCCGTCCACTGTAAGGCTGGGGAGGTCTCCGGCCTGGAGACCCTGGGGTGGAGGTTGATCTGATGCGCCGCGTACCTGACCGCAAACGGCCACAGAAAATGGGGGGCAGCCGCATGCATCATAGACGTACGAGCGACGTCCATGACCATGCCAATGCGGCGCTCAACAATCCCATTTTGCTGCGGTGAGTCCGGAAGCGTGAAGGTCTGACAGATGCCTCGTGCGCGATAGTAGGCTTGCAGTAGGCTAGAGAAAAACTCTCCGCCTCTGTCCGAGTGCAGACGCAGGAGCGGGAAGTCCGAGCCAAAGCTCCGCCTGAGCTGGAGACGAGCCGCGCGGATCCAGTCGATCAGCACCTCAGTGACATCACCCTTGCTGTGCAAGGGGAAGACCGTGGTGTAACGCGAGTAGTCGTCAACAACGAGCAAGAAGTAGCGCTCGTGACCCTGTCCACGGACGCGGGCCGGGCCCCACACGTCCATGTGAAGCGTCTGCAACGGGGCCTCTGTCGGAGGAAACTGGGAGGAGTGAGGGGCAGCCCGCTGGCGCCCCTCGACACAGGGGACACAGGCAGGGCCAGGGCATTGAGGAAGGGGAGGGAGGGACCGGGTTAGACCAGACACAAGAAGACGGGAGGCCATGCCTCTGAGCCGAAGCAGAGAGGGGTGACCAAGACGGTGGTGCCAGAGGAGAGTCTCATGAGACAAGAGACGACACGAACAGGGGGCAGACTCAGGACCGGACCTAGACGCTGCAGCAAACACCCGACCGGACGAAGCGACTCTACCAGACTCAGTAACGGGAGGAGACGCAGTGGTCAGTGTGTACAGACTCGACCCCGGCTGACGAGTAAACGTAGCCAGGTGCCGACCTGTGCTAGCCTCTGTACAGTGCGTCACCCGCTGACGCGGAGGAGTGAATTGGTGTACTCCCCCATTCTGTAGGTCAGCACCACTCACCAGGTTCGTCGAGAACGAGGGGAGGTAGAGACCAGAGAGGGTGCCAGAGGGAGCCGCCGGACATGGGAGGACTGTGGAGAAGCGAGATAGTACAGGACCCTCGGAGGGGTCAGCCAGAGACACCGCAACCGGCCGACTAAGCGGCGTGAGTGTGGTGCGGTCCCGAAAGAAGGAGCGAGACGCCCCGGAGTCAAGAGTGAAGGTGAGGGAGGCCGAAGCCGACGTAGTACCTGAGAGCGCATACTCACCAGTACCTGAGGACGCAGACACACTAGCACCTAGAGCAGCAGCGTCGCAATCACCTAGGGCAGCAGCCTCAATGCCCGGATTGGGCGGGAAACAGCGGTAGCAGTCACCCTCATCACTATGAGACACAGCATACATGGCAGAGAGAATAGCATCAAAGTCAAGATCAAAGATGGCAACACCCGCCCTAGACAGCTCGCCTGAGCGAGGAATCTCTGAGGCCTCTGGGAACTGGTGGCGCCATGCGTCCGCCAGGCGGCGAAAGCAGCGCTGGGTGGGGTGCGGACCCCCACACTGCTCACCCGCATGGTCGCCGGTGCGCAGGACGTAGGTGCACGGACCAAAACCCCCACCCCGCTGGCGTGCAGTGTACCACTCACGGAGCTGCTGAGGGGACAGGGTCTCACGACCGCGCTGCTGCTGCTCGCGCGCGCCACTACCGGAGCCACTCCTCTGTGAAGGCCCGCGACCAGCTCCACCGCCACCCCCACCGCCTCCGCCGCCTCCGCTACTGCCGCCGCCTCCACCGCCGCCTCCACCGCCGCCTCCACCGCCGCCTCCTCCGCCACCTCCGCTCCCACCGCCACCGCCGTCGCCGCCTCCGCCTCCACCGCCGCCACCGACCCCCCCACCCGCACCTCCACTCCCACCGCCACCCCCACTACCCCCACCGCCTCCACCTCCACCTCCACCGCCCGCTCCTCCAGCTCCCTTGCCCCCCTTGCCCTTGCCAGGGCGGCGTCTCCCGCTAGGGGCAGACGCCGCACCGACCGACTCAAGACCAAGGAGGTCGGCCGTAGCAGCAGAGGCAACAGAGGGCAGCAGGGGGGAGGGGGAACACCCCTCAAAGATGGGGGTGCGCGGGTCACCTCGAAAGGCTCCTACAGCGACTATACTCTTCTCTGCTGCTAAGAGGGCCTTCTCGAGGAGATCGACAGTGAGTGTGGTGGGACAGACTGAGAGAAAGTGGTCCCTGACTATACGAAGGGAGTCAGGAAGGCGAGTGACTAGGAAGTACAGAGTGATGTACATGGGGGGGGGTTCTTGGCGCAGAAGTCAGCAGGGAGTGCAGCGCGGTAGCGAGTGTCACTAGTGCGGAGGTGCGTAATGAGGTCAGCCACGGTGGTAAAGGCAGCAAGGTCAGGGAAGAGGTACGGTAGCATGAGACGGCTCAGTGCAGCAGTGGCAGGGGAGGAGTAGCGCGCGACTACAGCGTCGTACAAGGTCTGAGTACTCTTGTACTGACTAAAGTGCGCACGCTCGGAGGTAGGGAGGTGGCGACGCACAGCAAGACGTGCAGCAGCGTCGCGCGTGGCCCACTGGGAGCGAACAGTGGCGTCAGCATCAGCAGCAGGGGCAGGGGAAGCGCCAGAGGTAAGGTCAAAGAGAGAGAGGCCGTCTGCCCTATCGCACTGTAAGAACAGCTGCAGGTCGTCTACCCAGACCTCAAAGTCAATGGCCCGACCCTCAGCGTCAAAAGCGATGACACTAGGGGTAGCCATGACGACAGTAGCCTAGCAGTACTACCTGTAGGACAGGGGCAATGCAGTGACAGGAGCGCTGCTCTCACCAGACAGGGCGGGTCGGACAGCTTAGCAGCACAGCAACGCGGCTGCTCGGACGGCTCAGCAGCAACTGCAGTTTGGGCGGCTCGGGCGGCTCGGCTCTACAGCGGCTCAGGCGGCTCGGGCGGCTCGGCTCCTCAGTGGCTCAGGGGGCTCGGGCGACTCGGGCGGCTCGGGGGGCTCGGGCGGGTCGGGCGGCTCGGCTCCTCAGCAGCTTTGGCGACTCGGGCGGCTCGGGCAGGTCGGGCAGGTCGGGCGGCTCGGGCGGCTCGGGCGGGTCGGGCAGCTCGGGTGGCGCGGGTGGTGTAGGGCCGTAGGGCCGCTGGTAGGGCTCGGGGCCGCAGCGAGAGGGGCGGCGGGGCCGCAGAGACGGGCGGCGGGGCCGCAGTGAGAGGCGGCGGGGCCGCAGCTAGAGAGGCGGCAGGGCCGCGGAGACGGGCGGCGGGGCCGCAGAGACGGGCGGCGGGGCCGAAGTGAGAGGCGGCGGGGCCGCGAAGACGGGCGGCGGGGCGGCTGAGACGGGCATGGGGGCCGCAGTGAGAGGCGGCGGGGCCGCAGCGAGAGAGGCGGCGGGGCCGCGAAGACGGGCGGCGGGGCCGCTGAGACGGGCGGCGGGGCCGCAGGGAGAGGCGGCGGGGCCGCAGCTAGAGAGGCGGCGGGGCCGCGGAGACGGGCGGCGGGGCCGCAGAGACGGGCGGCGGGGCCGAAGTGAGAGGCGGCGGGGCCGCAGCGAGAGAGGCGGCGGGGCCGCGAAGACGGGCGGCGGGGCCGCTGAGACGGGCGGCGGGGCCGCAGTGAGAGGCGGCGGGGCCGCAGCGAGAGAGGCGGCGGGGCCGCGAAGACGGGCGGCTGGGCCGCTGAGACGGGTGGCGGGGCCGCCGTGAAGGTCGGCGGGGCCGCAACGAGAGAGGCGGCGGGGCCGCAGTGAAGGGCCGCTAGGGCGGCTCGACGAAGTGAGGGCCCGGAGCGCGACTCGGGCTGAGCGCGCTTCGGGCAGGAAAAAAAAACTCGATGTGGTGGGTCCTAAGCACAGTTCCCAAGGGGGAACCTGCTCGATACCATGAGAAAATTAGAACGAGAATGATGTGAACTATGAATGAAGAGAGTACAAATATGAAACCCTAGTTGGGTTGTACCCCCTATGGGATACCCCACTATAGCCTACACAATAGCATAAGCTATAATGTTCTGACAAATATGGCGCGCTCAAACTTCTCGGTTGCATAAGGAATTCCCGCCGCGTTGCGATGCCACGGGTGCAGCTCGAAACTTGCAGGCCCTGACATACGCAATTCAACAACCGCCATCAACATACACGCAGACCACACAAAGTCCAGAGAGAATGGCGCCGAATGAACCGCATAGGGTGCGAGGTTTTTACAGAGAAAAGCACGCTCACCGGCAGGGAAATGTTCTATGAATTGCTTGCCAGAGATGCGTGGCACCTCCAGCGCGCTCGGAGTTGCCGGAAGAGAGATGCGCGGGCTGGAGCCAGTCTTGTATGGCAGTCCATGCAGGATGTACACGTAAGTGCGGCCGTGCTCCCATTTGGTGTTGCGCCAGACCTGCATCTGGCGGGTAATCCACCCCGCCCGCTTCTCGTCGTGCGCCAGCAACATGTGGAGCATTGTACGGTGCGCAGGGCTGGTGATACGCAGAGCGCGCGCCAAGAGGCGTTCGAGCAGGGATGGCGGCATCCAAAAGGTGAGCTGTGCGACGGACGTGTCGTACGTCAATATCTTTATCATGTCCTCGACAACGGCCTGAATGCGAAGGGAGGCCACAAATAAAAACAGGAATGTGTAACATAACATCTATAAATCAGAATCACAGCCCTTCTTAAGCATCGAATAAAAGCATCTGCAGAGCAATCTCGGCATCTACCTTGAATCCGTCATCCTTCGACGGAAACATAACGTGCGCTTCCTGTAAGCGGTCGGCCCAGTACACCATCCCGGGTGTGGCGCGACCCCCCGTATTCGCCCGTCGGGATCTCGCGCGCAAGCGCACGTTCCACCATTGGCGACCTTGGCTCCCCCGTCGCATCTGCCTGGCGGGAGCTGACCCGGCCCGCCGCCGTGTGCTGGCGACACGGTGCGGGCTCGTCCACAGCCGCGTCACGCGCGCGGCTGGGCCGGTTTGTTGCACGCGGAGAAGCGGAGCGCGCGGCAGTGGCTCGATTCCCCTCAAGCCTCTCAATGGTCTGGTTCAGCTCGTGAATGCGCTGTTCCTGTTTCGCGACCCGCCCGGCAATCGCGTTGTCAAGGGCAGCGCCGGGGTTGCCTGGTGCATTTGCTGAAGCGGTTCCACGACGGTTCAATGTCGGACCACGTCCACCGGGGCGTTGTTCCTTGGACGTTGCCTGCGTGGAGGACGCGATCACCTCGGAGAGTGGGCGGACCTCGCGCTGCTCCGCTGCGAAACACGGGGGAGGGGGGGAGGGGGGGAGGCGGACGGGCGGATGGAAAGCATGAAGGGGCATGGGTTGGTCGACGGAGCGGCCGGATATGATTGGTTGCGCTTGAGTGCACATAGCGGCAACGTCGCGAGGTAAAGCAGGGTTACCCTCCGCATCCTCGTCCACAGGTTCCTCTTCCGGCATCCAGTTGTCTTCTTCCTCATCGTCGTCTTCGACGTCCAGTCGCTCATCCTGGCGGTCCGCCCACGGCAAATATTCTGTATCGGTGTCCGGGTCGTCTCTGCGCGCGCCCGCAGCAGAGGGCGACGGTCCACGAGCATGGCGAGCGTTGGGGCGTGGGGAGGAGGTTCCAGGCCCGTAGTACACCATGTCGTCGCTGGGCGCAGGCACGCCGGCGGTGCTACGAGCAGAGCACCTTACAGGTGAGTACGGGGAGGTTGCGGGCTCCATGGTCAGGTGCACGGAGGTTGCTTAATGTGTTTAGAGATGTTCTGATAATGCCACGCAATGCTGGTCGTAAAATAGCCGAGCTGTGGCACGCGTTGTCAATAACGGATAAGGTACCCTAGTTGCTGCAGCTTTAGTCGTGCTGGCGAGTTCATCTCGAAAGATTTGCGCGTGCACCAGTGATAGTGCGCCCAGATTTTGAGAAACCAATCTTCCCCATCGTTGCGTAGCACAACCATGACAGCGCGGCTGGCGTTGTGCCAGATATTTCGATGGCGGTCCAGATGCCCTGTCCACGACGGATAGGAGAATGCGCGGGAGATATGCCCGCTGGTGACGTGGCACACCGCCCTTGTCTGCTCCCTTCATGGTTCGACGGCATACGGTGGACCAGCCTACAGGCCACGCCGGGTATGAACCACCTGATGACTTACGGTTTACGTCTGAGGCTCTGCCACGGAAATCCCTGTGTCTCGTGTACGAGCCTACTTTCTTTGGTGAATGGCTTGTAATTCACTATGCCAGCATGGAGCTATTACATGGCGTAACGTAAACAAAACCAAAGCACGGTGACATATAATTTCTAATCAATTGCAACGTGTCCTCTCACAGCCTGAACTCAGGCAGGTCATCGTCCAGCCTGTTAAGGTCGTAATCCTGACATACGAGCCTATATAAAGGCACTTCGTTTGCACCACCAGGGATGTCCCACGGGTAAGTGCACATGTTCTTACCCATGTTCCCCCACCAAAAGCGACACCCATCCGCAGGGATCTCCCACCAGGCAAGCATACCCATTGCGTGCGCCAGCACGCCGGCTCCCATGCCGTCAACCCCGCCGACGTGCGAGAATTGTTTGTACGCGAAGAGCTTTGGCTGCTCGATCTTGAACTGGCGATATACCTAGCGAGCATCCCGTACGCGGTAATAGTTGAAAAGGCCATTCTCCAACTGCGCACATGTAAAGTTACCGGAAGTGAGCGACGCACGGATGGGAACAATCGATTTTGCCGGCCGCTTCAACTTACCACCCACCCCTCGCTCATTGCGAAGTGCATCAGGTACGTTTGATAGTCGTGTATGGGCGGCTTGCTAGCCACAAGATCGTGCAAGCCGCTTGCATTGTAGTTCACATTCCGGTGCCCGTTCTTCACCGTGCCCACAAAAGCATCAGCAACAACGTGAACGTCGGGGGGGTCGCGGTGGTCGCGCAGCACCGCGAGAATACATGCTTTGTCGATGAAAGATAACGACAAGCCTGTGCCACCTCCCCACGCATCCCGCAATGCCTGGGTTGCTTCCGTTCTTTGGGATGATGCGCTGACGTGTCGGGCTGGAACAAGATGCTGTATGCTCTCGGTTAACTTCCGGGGCGTGGGGTTACAACCATTGTCGACGATGCGGTTGAATTCGGCTTGCATCATTGCCGCGACAATCTCAGGATAGTCGCGAACGAGGACAGGAACAGAGGGGGGGCGTGTGATACACGTGTGGACCCGTGGCCTTTTAGGACCTTTGTAACGTGTTGACTCGTATCGCTGGCTACCATCTCTGGCGCAGCGCCACACCTGTGGCTTGGTTTCAGTGCTATCACGAAGCGCGGAAGCCATGGCTTGCATCACATTGCTTGTTGGCAATGGAGCAACCAACATGGCAGAGCTGGCTCCAAATGTGCCCGAATGACATTTGGAGAGGGCGATTTGGGTGCCTTGACATTTTGCGAATATGGCGATGTATCGCGAGTGCAGTAACGCCAACCCCTTTACCGTGTATGGTGCGCCCTTCCTAGGGTTTCCAATGCCTACGCAGGGGTCGTTGTACGCCTGTGAGTGGTGTTCTAACCGGTTCCGATCGCTGACGGGGTTATTTTCTCACAAGCGCAGAGCTGGGGCATGCATCATAGCTGCTTCCCGCTTTATCAGCGAGACTCCTGCTCGTGGCGAGAGTGATAGCGAGGGAGACGATGACCAGTATCAATCGTCTTAGTCTGATGATGACATGCTTGAGCTTAACGACGGCGACGACCATGGCGCCGTCGAACCTGCAACGGCCACAGAGCAGGAGGATGCGGTAAGTTGTCCAGGCCCCGCGAGCCATAGACGGTGGTGTTACACCAGTGCACAAACCCTACTCTGACGTTATGTTGTTTTGGGCATGCGCAGGTGTCAAGCGACGATGAAGACGAGTCGGACGAAGCTGACGGTGCTTCGTCAGACGAGGAAGCACATGCTGCTGCGCTACTGGATGGCAAAGAGAGTGCGCCAGAGGGCACGTTTCAACCAGAGGACAACTTCGACACGCTCATGGAGGCTGTCACAGGATCGAATTCTCAATCGAAACTTGTCACTAAAACTGAATACAAGGCCTATTTATACTCGGAAAATACAAGGATAAACGAGATAAAACGAACCTTCGAGAACACGCCCTTCCCGATACTACAATCACAAGTGCGCACAAGCACGCAAGGCTATTGGCACTTGGGATTACGCCCAGATTACACCGTATACACCACTGTCGGCGCTGTCGGTGCCGTATAATAGGTATGTCGGTGGGAAAAGTAGGAAATAAGAGAAATAAATAGAAGGCTCTAGAAAATAGAATAGTAGGCCGATTAAGATGAGATAAAGACCAAAATAAAGAGGAGAAAAAGGAGAATAGGATAACGGAAAAATATAATAGTGAGAAAATATTATAACGGGGACGTCCTCTCACAGAGGTGTTCCGCTTCATTGTCGGCTGCAACAACGGTGCGGGTCTCTTGAACGAGAGTACGGTGTGGCTCCTGAACCTTCTGCGCGACGAGCGTCTTGAGCTGGCGCGTATCCAACGTTGGCGAACGTTGTACGCCGTGATTCGGTTCGGCATGAACCTGCTGATGTCTAGCCGCAATTACGAGACGACCTCGTTCACCATTCCTGGATGGGATGGCACGTTCAAGGTGGTGCGCACTAGCGGGACGAAGGTGAGCAAGTCGCACGTTCACTCTGCGTCCATATGTCCGTAATGAGGCTCACCCAAAATCAGCGGTAACACAATACCATACGACTCGTGGCTCGTCATTGCATGCACGCCGTTATCGAGCTTATTGGGAATCCAGAGAACGCCAAAGGGTTCGTGCTCGAGCCACGCCAAGTAAACACGGCTGCTGGTCGTGTGTACACGACGCCAGAAACCGGCACGTTCTGGGAATATGCGCATACGGCAGCACAGGCGGAGTATGGACCTAGGGCGGTGGTGCTTCCGCTCATTCTCTCAAGCGACGCGACTATTCTAAGCGGAAATGAGCGCACCCGAGTGTGGGCGGTGTATATCTCCATCGCTAATATCCCGCTGCGGCGTCGATGGCTTGACTGCGGGAAGATTCTGCTGGCGATGCTCCCTTTCGCACCGGACAACACCTCCCCGGCCCAGAAAGTGGAGCTATTTCAGGCGGCGATGAAGATCGTGCTGGCCAATCTTATCGTCGCCAGTCACACGTAAGTATAGGCGCGTCTTCTTTACTGACATCGGCCATTCTGTATGCCCATGGCCTTGGCTGCCAACTCGTCAGGTGTTACGTAATGGCACGGTGGCTAACCTGTGCGCGCCTCCGTCCGTCGTGTCCTTGGATTGGCAGGGGAATAGCAGCCAAGGATCCGAACGAGGTGGACCGCTTCTTTGTGCCTCTGCTGTTCTCATACGTTGCTGACTACCCCGAGACTTGCAAGGTCTCGTGCACGCAGCAGCTGGCCTCGGCGATGCCTTGCTCTATCTGCTACGTGGGGCGAGGTCAGCTCCGGGACATGGAGCGGGAGCCAGCCGACCACCGCACGGATCAGCAGCAGGAGCAGCTGGTGGGCGACCCGACAGAGGCGAAGGCGTACTCGACCATTCCAATCCCGGTAACTATACCGCACGGTCGCTGCATTATTTGTTGGCTCGTATGTGTGAGGGCTTTGGTCCCCGCGGTTCGTTGCAGATTCCCCTATATGGCCCATCCCTGACCGTACTCCCCAATGGCAGTGTTTTTTGTGGGATTTCAACTTCAGCCGTACCCTGTGGGGCAACACGTACCTGGCGCAAATGCCAGACATTCGGCACGCCATCTACATCGGCTTCTGGCTCTACATACGGAGAGTCCTGCGAGGGTCCGGCATTATGGCAAGATGGAAGGACGAGTAGGTAAAGATGGCATTTGAGCAACCTAGTCGCACCTCAATAGTGTGGTCTTATATCTGAACGTACCTCTTTTTTTCTCCGTCACTCCGTTGTAGGCGCATGCAGACCATGTATCCCGACGCACGCCTGGCAGGACTTCGCCCTCCCGGGTCTGGCAGCTACTGGGCCAGTGGCGCAAACTTCACCGCCAGCGAGCATGCCTCTGCCATGATGGTGCGTTACGCTGTTTTGTACGGACGGCTTTCCCGGCGAATGCCGACGCAGTGTATTCTAATACCGTGAGCAAGGCTGACCACCCGCCCTGCCGTGTCGCACCTCGCACCGTTCGCGCTCAATGGGGAGGGTGAGGTCGTCAATAGGTTGGCGCTCGTGACTGTGCTCGAGTGGCACGAGTCTGGCGTGCGCGCTCCAAGTCACTTTGACGTATCCCTTGGAGACTTCGAGCAGGCCACAAAGAGGTATACCGCCATGTGGGGAGGAGTGAGGCAGTTGTCTCTTCCTACCGAAGCTAGCTAATGGCATATTGGTCGGTGTACGCAGGATGATACAGACTGTGGAGTCCGTCTTCCCACGTGAGGGAGATGGGTGGAACCTAATCAAGGTCCATCTCCTCACCCACGTGCCCGAGTTTGTAAGGCGCGCCGGGTTACCGAGCCAGTACTCGGCGGCTGTGTACGAGAACGCACACATCCGCACGTGCAAGCTGCCCTACAGGACCTCCAACCGACGCCAGCCTCTGCAGGCGATCGCGGTGCACAACGTGCGCGCCGCAGCACTGGCGCAGCTGACAACGGCCCTTCCAGCCCGCAGCCGCAACCAGACGGCATTGACTCGGGTAGGGCTGTTTGCTGATAGGTGAATTTCATATGCGACGCTTGTGTCTTATGACATTCGGCTAATTTGCACCTTTACACCATTGCACCGATGCATCCTCCTCTAGGCCATTGCGGCGGGCACCCCCCAGCTGACGGCATCGCGCAAGTCCCTGACTGCGCGGCCCGACCTTTGAGGAGATCAACAAGGCCGTGGGGGGGCTCCTGATGTACTACGACACTGTGATGCGCCACGCTGGCCTGCGCCCCTTCCCCGCCTGGGTAAGTGTGTCACATGTAGTCGACAGCTGGTATAGTCTAAGCTTGTCGTGTATGTACATGGCTGGATCCGCATTATGACGGCGAGGCGAATCCCTACACCCACGTGTGCAAGTCTCACACTCTCTGTGCTATCCCTGCCGCACATAGACCACGTGATTGTCAAGCCTCCAGTCTGACCCTATACCACCCTGTGCGCTACAGGCGCACACGGCAGTGGCGCTGCCGGCGCAGCCAACCGACCACGGGCACATCAAGCCCCATTATGTCCGGGCTGCAGCATCGCTGCACGGGCGCACGGCTTTCTCCTGCGTGGAGTACGGCTCGGCCCATGGGCAGACCCAGTACGGGCGGCTGCTCATGCTGCTGGATGCAGAGCGTCCGCTCGACGACAGCAGGCATGAGCCTGTAGAGGTGGCCGTGCTGCATAGGCTGACCCCCCAGGGCCTCGATGAGTGCACAGGCTGCCAGATGCTCGGCCCACCCGGGTACTATCGCGGGCTCGCTGTCGTCCCCATTTCCTAGCTCCGCCGCACAGTCCACTGCGTGCCGTCGTTCAATGAGCGTGACCTCTGGTACCTCAACAAGTGGGCATACCTTATCAACGAGGAACGGGACTAGGATGGTGAGCAGGGGCTCACAGTGGTAACGCAGCTTCACATGTGGCGGCAGCGTGTGTGCCTGCCCTTCTGATGGTTACCGTGCTGCGTTCATGGCAAACCCTTCAGCAAGCCTCGCGGAACCTATAAACCATTGCTTGCTTGGTGGAAAAGCGAGTGTGCGCCTGCACATCCTTATGCGCATCCATAATGCCCTTGTACTTCTATACGTACCATAAATGTTTCCTATTTTCGCAACAGCGCTGTTTTGAGTTGGCTACAAAGTGGGTGATTGCACTTGCTACCATTATTGGACGGACATAGCGTAACCGGCACCGGATGTGATTCCTGGTATGCGTCTGAGAGGGCTGCACAAACCAGCGCAATGTCCAGAGAGTCATTTAGGTTACTTCTGACATGCCACCCCCTAGCATACCCTGGCAGTCCTTTGGTTTTGCCGTTCGAGCGTCCGCAATATTTTTGTGAAGTCCTCCTGCTGCTCCTCTACTGCTCACCGACGATAGCTTTCCGGCCCATATCGAGGCAGATCGTATCGAAGCAGCCTCCTGCTCGCCGCAGATCCTTCGCGCGGATAGTTTTACCTCGCGTGAGGCAATTTCTCGCTGCGCGGCGGGCGGAGAGAGCATCCGCGGGGGGACGTAGAGGCGGGTACAGCCGGACAGCGAGTTCAGGGTTGCGCGCATCCTCCGCAGCCACGCCGCAGGCTTTGACGGCTGACACAGCGGCTCTCAGGGCAATATTCACGGCCGCGCTGCTACCTATCCCGGTGAAGCATCCGAACGCGTGCACGTGGCCCGGCGTGAATTGCGCCGCGAAAGGAGTCAAACTCATATGCTATAGTCTTTGTAGGCTGTAGTGGGGTAGACAATATGGGGTACAACACTTTTAGGTTTTCCTACTTGTACCCACCTGCTTCCTAGCTCATTCATTCCTCATTTCTTCACATGGTATAGAGCAGGTTCCCTAGTGGGAACGCTTCCTTGGGCCCACCACTGAAAATTGTTTTCTGACCGGAGCGCCAGTCGCTCCTGCCCGAGGGGCGCCTTGTGTGCCGCCCTTCTAGGCCCCTCGCGGCCCCTACGCGGCCCTGTCAGCACCCCTCGCGGCCCCGTCGCCGCCCCTCGCGGCCTTGTCGCCGCCCCAAGCGGCCCCGCCGCCGCCCCTACCGGCCCCGTCCCCGCCCCTACGCGGCCCCGTCGCCGCCCCTACCGGCCCCGTCGCCGCCCCTAGCGGCCCCGTCGCCACCCCTACGCGGCCCCGTCGCCGCCCCTAGCGGCCCCGTCGCCGCCCCTACGTGGCCCCGTCGCCGCCCCTACTGGCCCCGTCGCCGCCCCTACCGAGCAGCCGAGCTGCCTAGCACGCGAGCCGCCGAGCCACCCAGCAGCCGAGCCGCCAAACCGCCGAGCCGCCGAGCCGCCGAGCAGCCGAGCCGCCGAGGCCGCCGTCAAGCCGCCACTACCGAGCCACTGCCGCGCCGCTGCTACCGCGGTTGCCGCCCTGTTCCTTCCAGCGCGCCCCAGCCCTGCCCACCCGTACAGGTGAGAGCACTCCCTACTAGACCACTGCTGTCATGGCTACCCCCAGTGTCCTTACCTTTGATGCTGAGGGTCGTGCTGTTGACTTCGAGGTCTGGGTAGATGACCTACAGCTTTTCCTACAGTGCCATAGGGCGGACGGACTCTCCCTGTTCGATCTCACCTCTGGTGCCTCTCCTGCCTCGCCTGCTGATGCTGACAGCACTGTCCGCTCACAATGGGCCACACGCGATGCTGCTGCTCATCTTGCTGTGCGTCGCCACTTACCGACCACTGAGGGTGCGCACTTTAGTCAGTACAAGAGTGCTAAGACCTTGTACGACGCTGTAGTTGCACGCTACTCTTCCCCTGCCACTGCTAATCTTAGCCGCCTCATACTGCCGTACTTGTTTCCTGACCTCGCCGCCTTTCCCACTGTCGCTGACCTCGTTACGCACCTTCGCACTAGTGACACCCGCTACCACGCTGCGCTTCCTGCTGAGTTCTGCGCAAAGAACCCCCCCTCCCATGTACATCACCCTCTACTACATAGTCACCCGGCTCCCTGACTCCCTTCGCTCGGTCAGGGACCACTTCCTCTCTGTTTGCCCCACCACACTCACCGTTGACCTCCTCGAGGAGCGCCTCCTGGCAGCTGAGAAGAGTATAGTCGCTGTAGGAGCCTCTAGAGGTGACCCGCGTGCCCCTGTCTTTGAGGGGTGCTCCCCCTCCCCCCTTTTGCCCTCTGTTGCCTCTGCTGCTGCCGTCGACTTCGTTGGCACCGAGTCGGTTGGCGCTGCGTCTGCCCCTAGCGGGCAACGCCGCACCGGCAAGGGCAAGGGGGGCAAGGGCGCAGGAGGGGCTGGCGGGGGCGGTGGAGGTGGAGGTAGAGGAGGCAGAGGGAGTGGGGGTGGTGGTGGGAGTGGTGGCGGGGGTGGGGGCTTCGGTGGCGGCGGTGGCGGCGGAGGCGGCGGCGGCGGTGGCAGTGGGAGCGGAGGAGGAGGCGGTGGCGGAGGTGGCGGAGGTGGCGGCGGAGGAGGTGGAGCTAGTCGGGGTGGCTCTGCGCAGTGGGGCAGCTTAGGTGGTGGTCAGCGCTAGCAGCAGCAGCGCACTCGTGAGACCCCGTCCCCCCAGCAGCTTCGTGAGTGGTACGCTGGGCGTCAGCAAGGTGGGGGTACTGGTCCTTGTACCTACATCCTCCGTACCGGCGACCGCGCTGGTGAGCAGTGCGGGGGCTCGCACTCCACCCAGCGCTGCTTCGGCCGCCTGACAGACGCTTGGCGTCTCCAGTTCCCTGACGCCACTGAGATCCCTCGCCGGGGAGAGCTGTCTAGGGCGGGGGTTGCTATCTTTGATCTTGACTATGATGCTATTCTTGCTGCCATGTATGCTGTGTCTACTAGTGATGAGGGTGACTGTTACCTGTGTGTTCCGCCTGACCCGGGCATTGAGGCTGCTGCTCTAGGTGCAGGTGAGGCTGCTTATCTAGGTGCTAGTGCGTCTGCTGCCCCTGGTGCTGGTGAGTGTGCTCTCTCAGGTACCATGTCGGCTCAGGCCTTACACACCTTCACCCTTGACTCGGGTGCTTCCCGCTCCTTCTTTCGAGACCGCACCACGCTTACGCCGCTTAGTCGGCCGGTTGCGGTCTCCCTGGCGGACCCCTCTGGGGGTCCTGTCCTTGCTAGCTTCTCCACTGTCTTACCGTGTCCGGCAGCCCCCTCTGGCACCCTGTCAGGTCTCTACCTCCCCTCGTTCTCTACGAACTTGGTGAGTGGTGCTGATCTACAGGATAGGGGGGTTGACCAGTTCACTCCTGCGAGTCAGCGGGTGACCCACTGTACGTGTGCTCGGACGGGCCGACACTTGGCCACGTTTACCCGTCGACCGGGGTCGAGCCTGTACACACTGACTACTGAATCTCCTCCGGTTGCTGAGTCTGGTCAGATAGCTGTGTCGAGTCAGGTGTTTGCTGCAACGTCCAGGTCTGGTCCTGAGTCTGCTCCCTGCTCGTGTCGTCTCCTATCCCACCAGACTCTCCTTTGGCACCACCGCCTTGGTCACCCCTCCCTGCCTCGTCTCCGAGGCATGGCCTCCCGTGTCCTTGTTTCTAGTCTCCCCCGGTCCCAGTTATCACTTTCCTAGTTATCGGCTGTGCTCCAGTAGGAGGGGGAACAGCAGAAGGAGCAACAGCAGGTGCAGCCCGGCTGTTAGCGGCGTTGGCAACTCGCTCTGCTGCAGGAGCAGGCTGGTAGAGGTTTCCACGCCGGATCTCCCTGTACTGGGCCTAAAGCACAGAGATGTGTTTCTCTTGCTTCTTGAGCTGATCCTGCACGAACTGGAGAGTAGTCTGCAGGTCCTGAATGAAGCTGGAGGTGTCGTTCTCCTTAGTGATCGACTGCACCTCCCTGGTCAGCTGCTCAATCAAGGCCTGAAGCTTAAAAGAATCAGCCTCCGAGTTCTGGATGCGGCACTGTTGCATTCCAACGAGAATATTCTGCCCCGTGGGTTGAGTCTGGAGCTTGACAGCAATGTTCTCAGTCTTATTGGAAACACCCTCATCAGAGCCAGCCTCATCCTCATTTTCAGCATAAGCCTCAAGGTCAGCTTCACATTAATCTCCATGTCAACCACAAAGTCCTTAAGGTTGAGATCTATGTCAGCAGCAGCAGCAGCATTATCTCCCTCATTGCCAGCAACGGGCACCTCCTTAGTAGCATCCATCTCTTGACCAGAAGCCATGAAACAGGTTAAGGAGAGGAGATCTCAACAAATCTTATAATAATCTTTAAGAAATCTGAGTATCCTTATAGAATAATCCAATACAGAATCTCTTAAGATTGACTTGTTTGCTAAATCTCTCTATCACCTCAATGATAGAGCAAGATATACTCAAAAGAGTAATCCTCAACAAGTCCTTGTAGATCTGAAAATACACTCTTCTACTACAGGTAGATTTGAGTCTTCCACCAAAGGTGGGTAAGAAAAATGAATCTCTTCAAATTTCTTCACAATGTTGATGAAGAAGGGGAGCTTTTTGTAGATCTTGTAGCTCCAATGGTGGTTTGAAGAAATTGAAGTTGAAGATGTAGATCTTGAAGATGGTTTCGTAGATCTTGAAATTTCTTCAATATCTTCAAGATCTTGATAGCTCCTTGGATGAAATCCTAGATCCACAAGCTAGGATCCTCAAAAAAAAAAAAAAAAAAAAATCCAAGTAGCAAATGGCCACACAAGGCCAAGGAAGAACCTTGCTCTAGATACCAATGTAACACCCAAGGCTATTATAATGGAGTTACAATGCTTTTATAATAAATCTCAATACAAGTTGAAGCTCTAACTAGCTCCCAATAGCCTTGGAGGTGTCAATCTTCTTGAAGGAGTTGTTGAAAAGGCTTGAGAGAATTGTGTAGGAAGGCTTGTGAGAGAGCTCTCAAGGACTTAGGCAAAACAATCCCATTTCCAATTGTTTAGTTGGAGTGGGAGGTTGAGAAATTAGCTTGCTTAGCTCAAACCCCCTCAATACACCCCTTGGGGAACTATCCCAACCATGGTTTCCATGGTGGGATGGTTCCTAGGCTTGGAGCCTATGTGGCAATTGTGTTGGGTTGGAAAACCCAACTTAGAACCATTCAATGGTTGTGTTTAGGATAGAGTAGATTGAAACACTTGTTTGGCAGTTTCTGATTGGTTGGGATTCCAACCTTCAACATTCTCTTAGTTGAGTTGGAAATGTTCCTAACCTCCAAAGTTGAGGCTTGGCAAACCCAAACCAAGTTTCAACCCAACCAACTCAACCATCTTCTCCAACTCTTCCTTTGTCGAGAGAAGTTCTCAACAATAGACTTAGAGAGAGATCGATGGTTGTTAGCTCGGTAGTTAGGGTAATACGTTACACTGAGAGCCAAAGTCTGCAACGAGTCACTGCTGGTTCCGCCCACCGCTGGTTAATTATCTATCCCACACGGATCAATAAATATCTTCGGTACAATCTGCCTCGATTTGGGCCGGAATGCCGTCGTCGGTGAGCAGTAGAGGAGGAGCACGAGGAGGCACGCTGCTGTGGTGGTACTAACGTGAGCGCGGAACGCGTCGTGAAGAACGGAGACGGAACGCGCGGCTCAAGGATATTCTACGTCCGCCATGTTTGACTCCGAGTCAAGCGATTGCTAGCTTCCAGAAAATGTCCTGGGAGAAACCAAACCTACTTTACAGTTTCAGGGTGAAACCCAAAATGAGTTTCCATTTCGAGCGAGGAAGTAAGATAAGGGAACGAATAGGAGCGATACGAAGCTGAGTTTTTAAGATAAGATGGCGGTGAGCTTTCCTGGAAGAGCTGAGCGCACGACATCCGCCCAATAAGTGTCCTACGTGGCAGTTTCCACGACAAAAGACACACCCAGCACGTGCCATGCAATATTCTCGCCAACGGCCGTCCACATAACATACTGAGCTAGTCATTGCCGGTTCCTGTAAGAGAGCGATGCGCGTAGGCTAGGGCACTGAAACGAACGGCTGCTGCTACAGCAGCAGCATGGACGAATGAAATGCACGCGACGGCAGCGCAAGCACTACGTGGGCTTGGCTTGGTTTGGCAGGCATTCGTCCTTCCAAAGAACCATCACCATTAGCGAGAAGCTGCACTACTAAGAGGCACCACTTGCAAAGGCTAGCGGGTGGGAAGTAAGTGTGAGGAGTTGAATCGCATAGCAGCTGTGGATTGGATTGGTGTGGAAGTGGAAGTGGAAGCGGAAGCGGAAGTGGAAGTGGAAGGTGTTTGAGCTGTCAAGGGCTGGGTTGGATTGGGATGGGTTGGTTTGGCTTGGTTTGGGGTGAGGGCATTTAGGCCGAGGCTGGGGAATTGGTGCAACTGACGGCTAGAGGCGGAATCAGGAATATAGAAAGCGAAGAGATTCGTGAAAGGTTAAGTGTGGTCCATTATCGCTATAACTTGACGTAGCACAGTGAATCGGTGATACTTTCTGTGTTGTATATCTCAACGGAACGAAGGGCACGGTGAATCGGTGATACATTCTGTGTTGTATATCTCAACAAGACGGAGGGGGATGGCATGCAATTCGGGAGCCTCAACCCTAATTGGTCTGGGTTTATTGGTAAAGGTAAAGGTAAAGGTTTTAGGGGAAATCCCCTTTGGTATTACCCCGGCTGTCGATCGTAATCCGCCTACCCACTTGTTTACACGCCTCGCTGGGTATCAAGGTAGGACTATCCACTCCCAGATGAGCAGCTGTCAGAGTTCTTGAGGGAAATCCTAAAAGAACGCTGACAGAAAGGGGAGGGGCTGTAATTGAGGCAAGGAGGAACAATGTGTACATTTGTATATAGTCGAGAAAGTGGATAACGGGGTGTAGAAGCAATAGCAGGAGGTGGAGGGCAGCTCGGCATTGGCAGGCAGTGGGTAAAGGTTGGGACGAACCTGTGGCTGGCTGGGAGAAGGGATGGCGAGCTTACGTGGCGGAAGGGGGTGAATGGGGTTTGAGGGGATGCATGTGTTTGTTTTTTTGCTTGTGTGCAGACACCGAGTCCAGGGGGAGCTGGAAGTCACACCCGCCAGCTGGAGGAAGGCAGGATAACTGCAAGGGTGGCAAAGCTCGGCTGCTAGCACTCATCTGTTGGTAGCCATGCTTAGCTAGGCTAGGGTGGGTGCAATATTAGAGGTTCCTGGGCCATGGGACTGCTACTGCGTGATTGTTTTCGCAATTTACTGTGAATTCTTCTCAAGATAAGCAGTCTCTTAGCGAAGCCATATCCGCAGTCTGATGGATTAGGGGAAGGGCATTTAGTACAATCACGCAGTCCGAATGCGATTGCGGTCAGAAAGGTGGATAGAAGCAGTCAGAGCTACGCAAGGACAGGACGAGAGGATGATGGGAGGAGACGGGAATCAGCGGGAGAATAACCTGCCGCCGGGAGGCGGAGATGTAGAAGGCCAGACTGGGCCCTGTGAGGGAGCAACCGGCCCCAGGGGAGGTGCTCAGACCGGAAGCGCAGGCGGCGGAGGCAACGCGCCGACTGGATCGGAGGGAGCGCAGGGGCCGCAGGCGCGACCGCGGTCGCAAATGGGTGGACCGGTGGGATATCAGCGTAGCGCCTCGTGGCAAGGCACGGAGGACGAGACGATGATGCAGCGCTGGAAATACACTCAGCTGCCGAAGATAGAAGTGCCGGAAAGATTCTCCGGCGATGCTCGACGAGGTCCGAGCCTGAAGAACTACATCATGCAGTTGGAAAATCTGCAAGTGCGATGGGCGAAGGATCAGCTGGACCCAGAGGAGTTCTTCCGAGGGCTGGCCAATACGCTGACCGGGGAGGCAGAGACCTATTACCGCATATCTCGCAAGGAGCTGTTGGAGTGGGCGGCAGGGCGGGCCCCGGGCGAAAGGGATCCTACGGCGAGGTTCCTAGCAATGTTGCGAGAGCAATTTCCTGCGCAAACGGCGGAGCGAGTGGTCGAATTCCGGTCGTTCAGAAGGCGAGAGGGAGAATCGCTGCTGGCATACTACGGGAGGCTGGTGGAATTGGGGGAGGACATGAACTGTGGAGACCAGGGACGACTGATCGGGAAGTTCGTCCATGGCCTGAGTCAACCACTGCGGCAAGACGTGGAAGTGCGGGTGTTCGAGCTGGGCGCGGAAGCGACGCTGAAAGAGGCGTACGAAATTGTTAAACGAGTGGAGACGGGACGCAGGCTCTACGAGGTCGAGAGAACAGTGGATCGGGGTTCCGAGAGGAGACGGCCGGCATGGGCAGCCGCGTCCGCGTATCAGGAGGTGGAGGAAAGGGGAAGGGAAGAGACCCGACGTTGCCATAACTGTGGGCAGCCGGGACATCTGCGCAGGGATTGCCGGAACCCAGCAGCCTGTTCGCTCTGCGGGAGTCGCGAGCATTTGCGTCGGGACTGTCCGGGGGCCCCAGTGTGCGCACGCTGTGGAAGAAAGGGGCATCGGGAAGCAGATTGCTACGCAAACCGCAGGGACAGGCGAGGAGCGGAGGGAGGTGAAGATCGGCAAGCCATCATGGCGCGGCTGCGGGCGCAATTAGCAGAACTAGAAGCAGTGGAGGAGAAGCAGCCGGCGATGGTGGCATAGGAAGAGGAAGACTCGGAAGAGCCAGAGTTCATGCTA